AGTCTACATTGCACCTGAAACGTTGAAATCTTCCATAAAATGGAAGGATATTGCTTGAAATAATATCTAATAGCTTCAATGATTTGTCCAGATTTCACCGTCATGTAGGATGAGGTTCTGTAAACTAAGATTAATTGTAATTGCTTTTGCTTGGTGAGAAATTTAAAGGTTAATGTCATGTACAGATTTGATATAACGAGTAGACAGGACCTCTTATTGATCAAGCATGCTATCCTCCCTCTCTTCTCTAGTCGATGGGATGTAACGGATTCCAAATAGAAAGTGTTACTAACTATATGATTTAACGTCTCGTAGTTCCATAGAAGCAAAGCAAGCAAGGAAGTCTTGGTACGACTGAAATGAACCTGGGGCTGTCGAGCTTTTTGACAATGGTCTGATATTAGTTAGTGAAAATAATAGAAAACTGTGTACTTTAAAGGGCCTATCTGTTTAAAGGATAAGATAAAGTATCAGATGAGGTGAAGACTGACAACTACTGACGACATGAGGAAGTCTTGCCTTAGACTTCACTTACACTAGGGCGCATATTATAGAGACTCTCTTTTTAGGAAAGCAAATAATAAACTGCTCCTAAGAAAGTGCTTTTAAGGTGTTTTTAGAGTAGAATTCAGAGGATAGAAGCACCTGCACAACTCATCGGATATTACCCTTTTAGTTTTATTGGTGTAATGCGTTTGAGGCTCATACCTGGCAATTGTAAAGATCTCCAAAACAGCGACTCAGTTGCAGCCCTGCTTTAACGCGGGCAGCTGAGTTCTATCGTTTGCTTAAAAAATGCTTTTCCGGGCAAAGGTCATTTTTACTCGTACATTCCAATATGTATTTTTTGACACCATCATAAATGGAAAATATTGGTATTTCGCGCATTCAATAAAGCGATCTTACATTGGTAATGGAGACTTAGTTTCCTACATCAAGAACTCTTAAGGACAGTTTAATGTTGAGTATAGGGAAAGTGGCGGACCACTAGAAAGAACCAGCAACTAACGGGTGCAACTGCCATTATAACGCTCACCTTCAGTAGATATTTAGGGTTCGGAAATTGACGTCAAGCACTTTTCGCCGATCTCATCTCCCGCTCGGAATGAGCTATTACATTCACATACCTGTAGTTGTTTTTTCTTTGTTAGCGGTTCACAGTAAACATGCATCCTACCGTTTTGTTCTGAACTGCCTACATATATTTATGACTTATAGGTTGGGAATCGGAGTAATTCTGTTAATTTGAGGCTTTCCTTATTCAACTGCTCAGTTCACGAGATAGCCTTAGTAACGGTAAGGGAAGCGAAGGTAATGGTGTATCCAAATCATTAGATGGGATTTCTACAGAAGCCGAATATGTTCTGAGTACCAAATGATGCCTTGCTTAAGGTGAAACAAAATTTTGTCATAATCCCCATCATTATCTCTTATTAATTCATGTTGCTAAGTACCTTATTCTACAAACGCTCTGCTTCTAGTTTTGTGATAAACACGTTAAAGGCCGACAAGCTACCGTCTGCTTCAGAGTTTGAGGGCCCTGACATACGGCACCGTTTGTCGCTTTTTCCGCCGATTCCGTCCGTTTCTCCTTGTTCCAGATGCAATTTTCACCCTGATTAACAGTGAAAAGTCGACAAATCTAAAATATGTATGAATCAAGCGGAATCGGCAGAAAAGCGGCTAAAAGGTGTACGTGGCGAGGAATTGGGCAAGTTCTCCATATATGCCAATAGAGCATAAGCATAAAAGTGCCGAACCCAGTCGACGCGGACTATTCTTGTAAACGTCACCAGCATTCGCATTATTACTTAGCAACTGCTGCAACTGCGATTAGAACAGCTTATTTATTAGGGAAAAAAACTGTGTCGGGTTTCTCCAATCAGTTTTGCACATATCTCAGCTTAGAGCATAGTCTGTGCATTTCTCGGTAGCTTTATTTATATGAGTTCTAGTGGTTAATGGCCACTAAAATCTGATTCGGCATGGGTATTGATTCTGAATTATTATTCCTGCAGAAGATCGTCGTCATGATCCAAATCAACGGTAGTCGATTGGCTCCTGATGTGTGAAAAGGCATAGATTTCTAGCTCAACTTATTTATTTTCCAGATGGTCAGATGTAAAATTTTGGTTTTTTGCAGTCGTGTAAATCACATGCAAATTTGAGCTTAGCCTGTCCAAAGCTGCCTGAACCATTATGCCCTCATCTCCCATAGTCCCAATGGCATTTCATCACATTTGAAACTTTTACCTTAATGATTGATCAAACTACGCATGAATACGATGCAACATTATTTCCTTCGCTCTGTTTCACTACGTGAGAAAAAAACTTGAATGTAACAAACCACTGGTGGCAATATCAAGAAATCCATTAATTTCTAGCTGTTACTGGATTGGCTTTGCCGCATTACTTCGTGATGAGCAAAAGAAACCTCTACCTATAAAAATCGCATGGTGTCGAACATCCTCGCGCAGCATTTCCGCAAACTTAACTAAGTTTAAACAACTTGAAGTCAAACACGCTATAGATTTACAGCCGTGTCGCAGAATTGTCGGCAATAGCCCTTCGGAGAAAGGCAAACAATGGTTTTACGCATCTAGTCGTGAAAGAGCCATTATCCCATCCTCTGTTTCTATTATGACTCGAATCAGTGGAGAATAGTGGCGGTGAGGAGGAGTCAGTAGTCTAGCGATGAGTGTGTCAGTGATTGATAGGAATCTTCGCGTCCAA